TGTTTCCCTGATAGCTACAATCTCCAAATATTCAAATGTAATGTCAATCAATGTCTCCAGATGCCTTGATTTATCCTTCTCTTCATCCTTTCCTCTATCACTCATCTTTGCTCTCGTTCCAAATCTCTGCAACCCCTTGCATGCTAGTGGCTTCCCGCCTTGCTTGGGGTGAAACACTTAAAAAAAAAATGTCTCTATGGTAATTTAATCATTTTATCCCATGCAAAGTGATAATGCCACTAAGATGCAGGAGGTCATAGGGAGTGAAAGAGAAATGAGAAGACTTTCAGGAGGAAAAGAACAATAAAGGAACAGTATTCAGGAAGAGAGAAAATGGCAATTGACATTGCATTTAAATGTTTGAAAATTGTTGGTGGCAGGGAAGCAAGAAGTCGGAAGTGAGTTCCACAGGTGAGAAGTGCAAGTACAGAAACTATTAGTATAGAATTGACAGTTATCTATTTCCTTATAAAGAAACATTCATCATTCTTTAACTGAGCAACCAGTGCTACTTTTGGTTGAAATTTATAAAATCTTTCTATTAAAACAATTGTCTGGAAAATAAGCTTGTCAAGTCCTGTTCTTTCCAGTATTGAGTGAGGTTTCCTTCCTAATTTTTTGTTTCATGTAGTGTGGAATGCCAACATCTGGATTATGTCATTATTTTCTTTTTGAGTTATATTTGCAATGCATTTTAGTTGTTGCTAATGTTGAAAGTCCTCAAGTGATGCTTTACCATATTTTCTTCTTTTTAGCTTCCCTGCCTAATTTACGTAGTTTTTTATTCTCAAGGTAATGTTTCTTCTTCTTCTTCTTCTTCTTCTTCTTCTTCTTCTTCTTCTTCTTCTTCTTCTTCTAACAAGAACATTAATAATAATAATGATAACAATTAAACACGATTTGTACACACACAACAACACATACACTTATGTATGTATATACACATACTGTTTAATATATGCTATATTTTCTGGAAAATAAATTTCTCAAGTTCAGTAAATTTTGTTGTTCATTCCAGTATTGATAGGAGTTTCCTTCCTAACTTTTTGTTGGATGTAGTGTGGAATGCAAACATCTTGATTATGTCCTTATTTTCTCTTTGAGTTACATGTGATATCCATTTTACTTGTTGCTACTGTTGAAAGTCCTCCAGTGATATCGATATTATTATTTGGTACAGTTGTTTGTTTGGGATTCTGTAGAGACATTCTACAAGGTTTGAAGAAATATGCTTTTCACTAATACTTAAAGACTTCATTTGCTCAAAGCCATTTTTAATGATTAATCTAAATAATCAATTATATACAGTTGACAGTTTAGATATCTTTGAATGAGTTTGGCACTATGATTGACATTCATATGAAAGTTTTCATCTGACATAGCCATTTTAAAACATGACTTGAGTTGTTAGGTTACTGTTTTAGTTTTGTAGTAACTTGTGGTGTTGGGCAAAACTACACTTAGCATAGCCTATTCTGCATTCACTTTCCTTATCTCCTATACTAAATTTGTTAGAACTGATCTATCCACCAAGGTATTTGAAGTATTTAGTATTTACTAATTCCACATCCTGTATTTTTATGATAGATTAAGTGTTGGTGCTATCACTGCTTTCATTCCAATTCCAGATTATAGTTTGTTTTGGAAATGTTTATTTTGAGTCCTATTTCTTGGAACACTCTGTAGAGGATGTTGATTTTTTGTCCAAGATCATTCTTATCCCAGCTATGAAAACCTATGTCATCAGTATAGTCACACGCATCATCAGTACAGTGACCTCAAGAAGAAAGCAAGATCCCAGCCTTCTATTTATACAGGGTGCAATGGATAGACTGTCATCTAAATTATGCAAAAATGAAAATAACAGTGACATCTCATTAACTCTGTTGGGCAAAAGTATCTCTGATACAGCTTATACTATGTTCAGTTTCTTTTTCTCTTATATTTAATTTGTTATAGATGATCCATATGCTGATGTGTCTAAAGTGTTCAGTATTTACTAATTCCACATCCTGTATTTTTATGATGGATTCAGGGTAGATGTTATCACTGCTTTCATTTCAATTCCACGTCATAGTTTCTATTTTGGGAACAATTGATAGAGGATGCTGATTTAGTGTGTTCAAGATCATTCTTATCCCAACTATGAATAGCTATGTCATCAGTGTAGTCCATCTCAACATCAGTACATTGGATTCAAAAATGAAAGCAGGATCATTGTCTTCTATTTGTAGACTTGTTGGGGATGCAGTATGGAATGTTTAAATGGTTAGTACTCCTCTCGTCACATCTCTGTTTGTAAATGTGCCAGACATAGCCTAGGAAGAGATTAAATAGACTGGGGATCTCATTTCCTCCTTGTTGTACTTCTAATGATGTTTGAAATGTTTATTGAGAATTCTATTCCTTGGAACACTCTACAGAGGATGTTGATTTTTTGTTCAAGATCATTTTTATCTCAACTATGAATACCTATGTCGTCAGCATAGCCACACTCATCATCGATACATTAGCCTCAGGAGGGAAAGCAGGAATGATGTTCTCGATGTGGTATAATTACTAAATTACATATTTATATATATAACAAATAATGCATAGTATATTGATTTGCTTTTAAATGAGAAAATAAAAATTTGACAATAAAAAGACAAAGAAGAAAAGAAATAATAAGAAAAAATATATTTGATGATTTTTGGAAAACTTGTGTGAAAAAGAATTGAGATAAAAAGAAAGAAATCATAAAAAAATAAATCCCTGATCAAAAAAAAAAATGGAGGAAACAAAAACAGGGAAATAATGGAAAGTAAAATGAAAGTAGAGTGCGGTAATAAAATAAGCACATCCCATCTCCCCTCTCGTTTGTAACCATCCACTATCATAGAATAAACGTTTTCAGTGCTAAAGCTGAATTAGTCAAATAAAGCTTCATAAGCTTCTACTTAGAGTTGTTCCAATATTACAAGGAGCAAGACTAAAAAAAAAATGTCTAGAAAGAAGGCAAAAAAAGAGAGAAGGGAGAGAGTAAAATAAACAGAAAGGTGATTGAAAAAAGGAGAAAAATGAAAGGAAAAAAAAGAGACAGAGTGAAATAAAAAGAAAGAAAAAAGAGTGAGTGAAGTTGGAAAATGAGAGAGTAAAGAAAAAGATTAAAAGAAAAAGAAAGGATATGAGAAGAAAAATGAAATTAAAAAAATGAAAACAAAGAGAGGAAGAAAACAGAAAAAAATAAAAGGTTAAGGAGAGATTAAAATTAAAGAGAAAAAGTAGGAAGATGAGAAGTAAAACTGAAACAAAAAGAAAGAAAAAAGAAATTGGAAAATGAGATAAAAAAAGTGAATGGAATACAAAGAAAGAAAAAGAAATAGAGAAACTGGAAAATGAAAGAGAAAAATAAAGACAAAGAAAAATAAAATAAAAAAAGAAATTATCAAGTGTAAAAATGAAAATGAAAGAGGGTGAAAAAAAAGAAAGAAAAAAGAAACAGAGAAATTGGAAAATTAAAGGAAAAGGAGAGTGAAAGAAAAGAAAAGTGACTAGAAAGAAAAAGAAATAGAGAGAGAAGTTGGAAAATGAGATACGAAAAAGAGCGAGATCAAAATAAAAATAGAGAAGTTGGAAAATTAATGGGAAATGAGAGTGAAAGAAAAGAAAAAAAAAAGAAAGAAAAATTAATAGACAGAGAAGTTAAAAAATGTGAGATAAGAAAACTAGAGAGGCCAAAATAAACATAGAAATAGTAAAGTTGGAAAATGAGAAGAAAGAGAGAGAGAAAGAGAGAGAAATAAAAAAGAAAGACAAAGTAAGATCAGAGGGAGAAGCAAATGAAAAGGTGGCAAATGAAAGCAAAAAAGAAGCTGTTCCTCAGCAAGTAAATAAGAACACAACAAAGAAACGGAATATTTAGCTCATTTGGAAAAATGGAAAGATGGAGAAGAAAAAGAAAAAGAAAACAAATGGTATTACTGATATAGGTATTAAAAGAATTATTGGCTGGTGATGCCAGATACAAGTGGTTAGCCGATTTGATGATGGGCGGGAATATCTGTCTGCTGTTACAGTAGGAGATAATAGTTAAATCTGAAGTGCCAGTCAAGGACTTTTTGATAAAAGTAGAAGTTGTAGATAAAGGAGGTGCATTCAATGAAAGATTCCAACTTTTTCTTTTGCTTTCAATTCTTGTCCAATATTGAATTTCTACTTTTCCTGCATATATTTACTTAGTTTATTTGAGACTTGTTCGTATTTTAATATTTCTTCCCTCCCTTTAACCACACTTTATTATTTTCTGTTTCGAATATTTCACCGATGATGAGTTCTCATTCTTTGTTTCTTAGTGTATTATCCTATCGTACTATCAATTCTTTCTTATTTACTAGTTCTTTCTCTTTATATATTCTTTCTCAACTGTTTCAGGTTTGCTTTCTTCACTTAGCCCCTCTTCTTTTATTACCCTTTCTCAATATCCTTTTTCTTTCTTCTCACTCTCTCTCTTCTTTCTTTACACCTTCTCAATCTCCCTCTTTTTTTTTTTACACCTTCTCAATCTCCCTCTTCTTTACAACTTCTCAGTCTCTCTCTTCTTTCTTTACAGCTTCTCAATCTCCCGCTTCTTTCATTACACCTTTTCAATATCTCACTCATTTTAACACCTTTCAATATCTCTTCTTTCTTTACATCTTCTCCATCTCACACTTCTTTCTTTACACCTTCTCAATCTCCCACTTCTTTCTTTACACCTACTAAATCTCTCTCTAGTTTTTTACACCCTCTTCAATCTCACTTTTCTTCCTTTACAACTTCTCAAATGTTGCCTTTTTTTTACACATTCTTAAACTTTCTCTTCTTTATTTACAGCTTCTCAATCTCTCCTTTTTTACACATTCTAACTATTCCCCTTTTTTTTACACCTTCTCAATCTCCTTCTTTCTTTACATCCTCTCAATCTCCCTTTTCTTTTTGGCAACTTTTCAATCTACCTCTTCTTTCTTTATAGCTTCTCAATGTCCCTCTACTTTTTTGCAACTTCTCAATCTCACTCTTCTTCCTTTACAACTTTTCAATCACCCTCTTGTTTATTTAAAACTTGTCAATCTCCATCTTCTTTAATTAAACCTTCTCAATCTTCCTCTTCTCTCTTTACACCTTCTCAATCCCACTCTTCTCTCTTTACACCTTCTCAATCTACCTCTTCTCTCTTTACTCCTTCTCAATCTTCCTATTCTCTCTTTACACCTTCTCAAACTCTCTCGTCTCCTTTTACACCTTCTCAAACTCACTCTCCTCTCTTTACACCACTCAATTTCTCTCCTCACTTTACACCTTCTCAATCTCCATCTTCTATCTTTACAACTTCTCAATTTCTCCTTTATCTCTTTACACCTTCTCAATCTACCTCTTCTCTCTTTACACCTTCTCAAGCCCCCTCTTCTCTCTTTACAACTTCTCAATCTCCCTCTTCTCTCTTTGCACCTTCTCAATCTTTCTCTTCTCACTTTACACCTTCTCAACCTCCCTCTTCTCACTTTACACCTTCTCAACCTCCCTCTTCTCTCTTTGCAACTTCTCAATCTACCTCTTCTCTCTTTACAACTTCTCAATCTCCCTCTTCTCTCTTTGCACCTTCTCAATCTTTCTCTTCTCACTTTACACCTTCTCAACCTCCCTCTTCTCTGTTTACACCTTCTCAATCTACCTCTTCTCTCTTTACACCTTCTCAATCTCCCTCTTCTCTCTTTACACCTTCTCAATCTACCCCTTCTCTCTTTACATCTTCTCAATCTACCTCTTTTCTCTATACTCCTTCTCAATCTCCCTTCTCTCTTTACACCTTCTCAATGTCCCTCTACTCTCTTTACACCTTCTTGATCTCCCTCTTCTCTCTTTACACCTTCTCAACCCCCTCTTCTCTCTTTACACCTTCTCAATCTCCCTCTTCTCTCTTTACACCTTCTCAACCCCCTCTTCTCTCTCTTTGCACCTTCTCAATCTCCCTCTTCTCTCTTTACACCTTCTCAATCTCCCTCTTCTCTCTTTACACCTTCTCAATCTCCCTCTTCTCTCTTTGCACCTTCTCAATCTCCCTCTTCTCTCTTTACACCTTCTCAATCTACCTCTTCTCTCTTTACACCTTCTCAATCTCCCTCTTCTCTCTTTACACCTTCTCAATCTACCTCCTCTCTCTTTATATTCAATTCAGTCATTTTGTTTTTTCTTTTGCATAAGTTTAAAGCTATACTTAACTTTTCTTTGTCACCCTTTTTCCCATTTCTTCCTCCATTTATTGTTTCTTCATTAAACATTTTTATGTGCTTAGGTAGAAGTAAAGTCTTGAAATGCAAATTTTCATGCAAAATAAGAAACTAAAACAAAATTTGTGAAGTAAATTTTAAGCTAACATGTGCAAAACTTTCCCCAACAATAGAAAAAAATGAAAAAAACTACATTACAAAAATATTCTTTCTAAACAGACTGTTCTCTTCTTTCTGTTGGCTTATTCTACCTTTTTCATTTGATTTCTTACTTGAACACTCTCAATCTACCTCTTCCCCTTCCCTCTCTATTTCTGTTTCAGTCTTATCTCTCTCTCTCTCTCTCTCTCTCTCTCTCACTATCTATCTATCTATCTATCTATCTATCTATCTATCTATCTATCTATCTATCCCAGTTTTTTCTGATCTATCTATCTATCTATCCCTGTTTTTTCCCATCTATCTATCTATCTATCTATCTATCTATCTATCTATCTATCTATCTATCCCAGTCTTTTCTGATCTATCTATCTATCTATCTATCAATCTATCTATCTATCTATCTATCTATCCCAGTCTTTTTCCCATCTATCTATCTATCTATCTATCTATCTATCTATCTATCTATCTATCTATCCCAGTTTTTTCTGATCTATCTATCTATCTATCTATCTATCTATCTATCTATCTATCTATCACTGTCTTTTTCCCATCTATCTATCTATCTATCTATCTATCTATCTATCTATCTATCTATCTATCTATCTATCTATCTATGCCAGTCTTTTCTGATCTATCTATCTATCTATCTATCTATCTATCTATCTATCTATCTATCTATCCCTGTCTTTTCCCATCTATCTATCTATCTATCTATCTATCTATCTATCTATCTATCTATCTATCCCAGTCTTTTCTGATCTATCTATCTATCTATCTATCTATCTATCTATCTGTCTGTCTATCTATCTATCTATCTATCTATCTATCCCAGTCTTTTCCTATCTATATTTATCTATCTATCTCATTCTTAATTTTATACTTCCTTTCTTTTTTTTAATGAGTCTTATAACTGAAAGAATTGTAGACTCCTCACTTTTTTCTTCTTTTTTTCTCATTTTCTCTCTTTCTTTTACTATTCTCTTTTATTAAAAGAAATCTTCCAGTACATTTGATTTCAAGCTCTCTTATTCTTTGTCTTTCTTCTCGCCTTCTTAACACTTTTCATTGTTCTCTCTTTCTTTTTCTCTTT